ATCCGATAATCGCATTAGTTACTCCAACAAAATTTTTGTTTCTGTTCGGTAGGAAAATTTGGTACAAGTGATCGTTGGAAAGAATTTAGTTTTTTGAAAATATTTTTTTTTTTTTTTTTTTTAGCGATCATGCTACATGCTCATGCTTTATTGATCATTAATTAAATCCGAAAAAAAAAGAATATATCTAAAGATACGGGTATATAACTCACCCGGTTACTTATATAGAATACCTAAGTATTCATGCACCTGTGTGTGACCTGCCAAAGATGATTTTAATCTCCCCGGTTTGGTTCAATCTACATCAAGCCGACCCGCCCCGGTTCACCGATCTGGTTCATCAGCCTGTCATGACCACCTTCTTTCCCAACCTTCTTCTCTTAGCCTCCTAGATAGAAGAATTCTACCAAAGAACAATGGGAAATTTACGAAATAAAAGGAATAGTAAAAAGGGAGAAAATCTAAACTAAATGAAAACAAAAAACAAACAAAGAAAGAAAATGAGAGAAAATGAGAAAAAGGCCGAAAAAAAAAGTCAGCTATGACGGCACTATTTTTGCCTGTGCAAGGCTACATAAATTATATAATGTTGTATAAAATAAAATCTAATTTAACACTATATGTAATAAAAGAAGTGAAAAAGAAAATAAAAGAAAACGTCTAATATTAAGAAATTTTTACATGTGATTTCTCCGATCCCCTATACTATAAACAGTACCGCCATCATTGTTTATTTGGCAAAGCATAATCCAAATAAGCTCGTGGAAGGTTCCATTTTGGTAGACGCGTCCTAATTTGGAAGGAGTAAACATTGCCGATCTTTTGAAGGGGGTATGCCGGTTTTCTCACTTTTTGGCCAAAATTTCAAAAAAAATTCCAAAATAGTGAAAATATGGTAGAAGGTTTTCGGTTGCAGGTACTTTCAAAACTTCTAAAGAGTGTGTTAAAATCCAAAACTTTTGTTGTTTCCCTGTGTTCTTCTTCAAAGTAACGGACTAGGGCTTCGTCGACGAAGTAGCAGCCTACTATGTAACTTACTCCCTTCACCAAAATTTTTCATACAAGGGCACCTGGGTGGCAACTCCCTGCCAGTTATCTTGTATAATAATGCTCTTGGCTTGCATGCCGAACTTCCTTTAGAGGAGTCCCCCAATAGGCAAAGATTGACCTTTAGACAAACCGCACCATAGAGCCACATCTCTCCAACAAAAGTTTTGTTTTTCATTAGTTGAAATTTTGGTACAAGTGATTATCGGGGAGAGTTACAATTACAATATGTTAATGGGTTTTTTGAAAATATTATATTACAAAAATCCTTTAAATCATTTATAAATTACCCTAATAGTCATAAATTGCCCTGAATAGTTCACAGAACATTTTAAAATTATTCTGAATAGTTTATAAAATCTATCTTATGTCACCACAAGATATCACCCTTGCAATACAAAAATGTGTAGCAGATCCATGATTACTTTTCAATAATAACCTGATCAAACTTAATAAAAATTTGTAAATAAAGAAATTTTATCAAGTTTTTCCTAGTAGTTAGCAAGGTAAAAATGCTATTTCTGATAGATCTGCAATATTAATCTTGATGAGTTAAAAAAATTTGAATACTGTTAATATATTAGAGATCTTTTTAGATTCATCAAACAACAGTCAAAATGAAGCAACTAACTTTGCATGTCATAAAAATCAAGGGTCACTCAGGAGACATATTTAATGATTTGGCAGATCTCAAAGCCAAAGAAGGTGCAAAGTCCACAGAACTTTTATTGCATATGTGAAAAAAATTTTTTTCCTCTTTTGGCATTTTGCCTCGGGACGTCCACACGAAAATTAACCAATAAAATTGTATCAAATGATCTGTATTATATGAATGCCGTCATAATTATGTCAATCCAATTTTCGCATAAGCGCAATCCCATGTTTTAAAATTTTCTATATAAACCCTCACTCTTCGGTGTTTGTTCATAAAATTTTTTTTGGGCGTGCACTATTAGGAACTCTTTGTTCTGCCGAATAATGTATTCTACCCAAAATTTCTGGACAAGTTCTGGCTATTTAGTCGTTGTAAATTGTCAACGCTAAGCCCGAACTAACAGTGCCGCCCACCGTAAGGTGAGCCCACCATGTTTTCTTCTGATTTGAAGTAGAGATAGTAAATTAAAAATTTTACTTTGCAAAAATGAGAATCTTCATATTCTCCCATTTCGATTCCTTTATTTTGTTGAGAAGTGTCTATTATTTTTAAAGTAAATATTGTAAGGCGGCAATAACGTACGTAATAGGGTGATTTAGAATTAAAAATCGGATATTTGGTTCGAATAAAATTAGCGACGTATTCGTTTTGATATAAGTGATTTCTTATATTCTATTTTTTATATGATGATATTTCATCAGAAAAATGCGCCTACTTCATTTTCTGTTTAAAATAGAAAATGGTTTTTTTAAACTTCCATTTATTTTCGAAATAATTTCGAATCAACTTAATAAATTACTTTATTAAATGGTATATCCAAATTCTCCCATTTCGGTTTTTATTTGAGTATATCTATATAATGCCTTTAAAATAATTATAGCACCGGAAGTTTATACTCGATGGCCATGTGACACAGGCGACATTTTTCCAAATTCACTTTTATTTTAAGTAGAGACTCTACTTAAAATAAAAGTGAATTTGGAAAAATGTCGCCTGTGTCACATGGCCATCGAGTATAAACTTCCGGTGCTATAATTATTTTAAAGGCATTATATCGTAGAGGTGGATATTCATTTACTTATCAAAAATTGTATAAATAATCAAAGAATATTATTGAATATTCGAAGGCTCTAGTGATTTGATACATAATGTGCAGAGATTTGTCTATTTTTATATTAAAGATTAGCTTAATAATTTGCCGAATAATAAAAATTTTAAAAATATATAATTTTTAAAAAATTTATTTCTTAATCATTTAAAGTTTTACTAATTAAGACGTATTTATTCGTATATTATTCTTTCATCTTAAAGATTACTAATTTAAATTTATTTTATTTATTTAGCTTTGTTAGCTGTTTGACTCTTCTGACTTAATACCGGTATCGAAAATTTTGGATTAACAATCAACATTTTTCGCCTAAACTATGAGGCAAATTTTATGCTGTTAAATGATTCTAATTCTTAATTATAATCTATGTACAATCGATCTTTCTTAATTTTAAACATGAAATTATAATAATTCCGTTTTTTAGAATATTTTTAGCATGTCCATCTTTCGATGCTTCGTGAATCACATGATGATTATTAAGAAAAATAACCTTTTTAGATTATTTACATAGTCTCAAAGGTAATATTTTTAGCAATGGATCACTTATGTAAGAGTAATTAACGATAGCACTGATAGATAAAATGACGAATAAATGATATAAGATACAATGTGTTATGAGGATACAGTAGTTAGTTGAAAGTAAAAAAATTTGAAATAAAATAAAGAAATAAAAGTTAAACGTATGAACCCGGATGAGCACGAAATGTATAGAATTCATTTGAATATTGCCATCATATAGGATATGTAATTACAAGTTATAAATTGAAGCTAGAGATTGGATCCGAGCATTGTTTGGTCATAAATTTTAGAATGAATATTCAAATGTTCGTTGAACTTTAAAATTTATTATTTCACAATTAGAAATATCATTCTGCCAAATAAGTTTGGATTTTATAAAACGACATTCACAATATTTGTTTTATCTATTAGTTACTACGACTAAATCAAAATGCTGGATAACTTATCACGTTTCTAATTTTTTTTTTTTTAGAATATATTGAATTGTAGACCGAAATATTAATTAGATTCTCCTTCTTAATAATTAAAGGAGAACTCTTCTAGAGCATTAACAGAATGTTCAGTATTTTATTCATATTGTAGCGTTTTCAAATTACCGTGAACCGTCGATCACGAAAAAATTTGAAAAGCTTTGCATTTTTTACATTCCGTATTTTCGCGCAGGGGTGTGATTTCAAAATTTGGCCCAAATTAAGCTCAATTCGGGCCATTATTCTAAATAATGCCCAGCGTTATTACGCTATTTCTAATACAATATTAACTCCAGTCGTACAATAAAATTGGTAGTTAGCTTGGCAAAATAATATCAAATATTTCTTTTTTTGATTTCTTTTTTTGTTAGTGGAATTTTAATATATAAGTTATATATTGCCAAACTAACTACCAATTCTAATGCACTACTAAAGATAATATTGAAGAGTCGAAATATAATGGAAAATCTTGAAAATTTTATTTCTAGACACTTTAATTAGGAAACGTTAATTAGATTTATTCACAAAAAGTGCCAGTTTTCAGTTCTTTGTTACATAATTTGAAAAGCCGACACGCGTCGTCCTCATGATAACATAACCATGGAGGTAATTGGAAAAAAAAAAAGCGCGATAAGTTATATGATTAGATTTTTTACTATAAAAAAATTCGTATATTACGATGAAAGCATCAATGATTGTTTAGACTATTGACTATGGGAGTTCTCAAGCACCTACCTCAGTGGACTCAATAACGAATCTAATTGATCTGTTTGATCAAACTAGCCAATCAGATTTTTATTGAATTCATTGAGAACGCCCTATATATGTCCTATAGGCATGTTTCAAAAATTTTCAACGTCTCCAGCCCAACACAAGACCGACATTAGAAAAAAATTAGTCGAATTTTTTGTTTATAATTTTTTCGCTAATTAAAAATCTTTTCAGACGTTGACAATGTATAATGCATGGTGTAAGTTCAAATCTAATTATAGTTTTAAAACAATTTAGGGGAAATTACAAATAAGGACCCAAAGTGAAAATAATTTCATATAAGAACCCATATTTTGAAAAATTTTACAATTAAGGGCCAAAATAACTTTGCGTCATAACGATAGTCATATGTATTAGACGAAATAGTTAGAAAAGTTTTTTTTTTAGCCTATTCATTGATCTAACTTTAGGTTGGCATTACAGAGACGGGTTATGGACTATTACTTAAAGATACAAGAAATCTCACGAAAGGCACACCATCAGGTGAAAATCCGTTAGAAGCATCATCACCACCCAAAAGCACTAGGGGGTCAGTAAGATAATGATCAATTAATTTATTGATGAGTATTATTAGATACGTCATACCAAACTTCGCACATCAAAATGATGAAACCTTTCATTATTCGTAGTATATAATAGGGTATAGAGTATTTATAATAGTTTTTGCATTTTGGTAAAGCGGGCCCAGAGGCCAATCTTGTGTTAAAACATGTGCTTTCTTATATATATTGCCATGACTGAGTTGGACCAAAATTAATTATACGGTATATGTACCCAATTGGTAAATTTTACGAATTATAGTTTGGATCCCCTAATCACCAATGTTTGATCTTTCACCTTCAATGATTGCCATAAAATTTGCAGAAGAAAGTATATCAATCTTTTATTGTTATTATTTATTTTTTCGTTAAAATTGCATTTTTTCCTGAACAAACATCTAATTTATTCGTAATTAACAGTCCATAAATCCTAATAAAACATTAGTAACATTAATTCCCAAAGTTTCCATGTGATATCCACCTTCCATTACGAAAAGTGTTGGCAACTCTGTTGATTTAATTATCTGCCCAATTCGTTTATATGCATCTGTTGTCATTTGAAATCCCGAAATTGGATCATCTTTATATGTATCAACTAGTCCATAGAATAACAAAAATAAATAGACAAATAATCAAATAAATAATAAATTAATAAATAAATAAATGTTGACTTACCACCCAAAGAAACAATTAGATAATTGGCTCCATAAGGAGCAATCTTTTCCTTAATGACTTTTTCTAACACTTCACAATATATTTCATCACTAGTTTCATTTGGTAATGGAATATTAACATTATAACCTTCACCTTCACCTTCGCCAACTTCTGTCGCTTCACCAGTATACCAAGGAAAATCATTTGATGCATGTAATGAGACATATAAAGGATTTGATTGAGAATAAAAAATGTCTTGTGTTCCATTTCCACTGTTAATAAAGAAATAAATAAATAAATAAAAAGGTATGCTTATAATAAGAAAAAACTTACTGGTGATAATCAATATCTAATATAACAACTTTTTTAGCATTTCCATCAGAATCAAAGTTATTGATCAATAGTTTAGCTGCGATAGCAGCATTATTGAGAAAACAGCCGCCACCGCTGATATTTGAATTTGCATGATGACCAGGTGGACGACTTTATAACATATTATCAACAGAATGAATCAATATAAATAAATATATAAAATGAATAAAAGTAATGATGAATCTATTACCAAAGTGCGAATACGCCAACTGGATGACCTTTATCATAAACAGATTCGTTATTAAGTTTGATAAATTCTTTAGCAGCACTAATACTAATCTGCGCGGATTCATAAACTGCTTCCCAAGTCTCTATGAAGATCATAAATAATAATTACAAACATAATAAATCAATCCTGATTCTTATTTAATTTCACATGTAAATAATTAGAGAAAAAAAAAACCTTCTGTTATACAGCATGACAGATCAAAACAATACATCCCGGCTTTAGCAAGAGACGATTTAAGGTTCTTAATCTTGCCTCGACTAATACTAGTAAATCCACCATGAGGAAATGCTTCCGGTATTACCCCATCTTTATTACCACCTTCTTCACACCATTCCTTATAAGCAGATTTCAGATACTCAATATAATCAACATCGTGAATTGCTAGAATAGCATCAAGACCGTGATCAGAGGGGCATAAAAATTCAAAATTTTTTGATGAATTTTGGGTTCGTAATTGGTTTACAATAATTGTGAGACGAGATGGACTTTCTAGAATTCGAATTGCAAATATGGAAATATGAATAAAGAATTAATTAAAATAATGATAATTCGTATTAAGGAGATACAGAATTATTTAATGCCGTATAAACATTATCCAATTAAAATATCAATTATTAGAATTCATATTATCGTAATAAAAATTACCAACATATTCAACAAATTTTCCGGATAAAATTTCATATTTTGGAGCATGTTTTAAACAAATGTCAGAATAATATACTTTCATTTTTGTCAATTTTTATGATTTGCACAAAATTTTATATCTTTGGTAGAACAATGGGTATATTTATAAAATTCAAAGTATTACAGATCTACTTTTGAGAAACATTTTGTTGTGATAATTAGTGTTGGGCACTGGACAAGTCTAATTCTAAAATCATGGACTAGAAAAGTGATGTCAAGTTCAATTTTCAGTTAGACCTTGGAATGTTCCAGTTTATCATTGGTAATTAGAAAACAGCCGAGCATCAGTATGGTGGGTATTATGAATTATATGGCTTTTCTTAATTGAAGTAATTATGATGTAAGGGCTAACGGATTTCCTTATGTCAAGAAAATGATCTACATCCGATGTAACACACAATTTTGATAATATTATATATATATATT